TCAGTACTTATTCACTTCTGCTACAAGGACTCCACCCCGCTGAGCGGCCGAACATTACCCTCTCTCTCGACGATACTGCACCCTGGGCATGGCGATATAGTCTCGTCACCAATACCATCATCACTTTTGACATCAGAACCACTGACTTCTGTGCTATCGTGTTCAACAGCAATTCTCCGTTACCACGACGACACAGGCTCAGTAGAGGCGAGCGTGGGCCTCAAAAACCCCGCAGTTGTATGCTATGGGTGGCGGTGTTCAAGAGCGAGCCTATGGTCGCCAAGTGAATTTACAAAGAAGAAGTAGAAGAACAAAACATGGAGAACACCGTTGGGCCAGAAAAGCGACGTTTCTGCGCCTCTGGCGTTTCTTCGCTTCATTAGCGTCTGGCAGTGAAGGAAAGAATTGAGAAACACTGTAAAAATTGAGCTCGTCACAGAAGGACAACCTTTGAGTTTGGGTGGGCGGGGCAACTAGGGAGGCGTTAGAGCTGTCACTTATGAGGCCGTAGCGCCTTCGCTACCTTTTGTAAAGCCGCGAAAGTGTGACAGTGTTAGAGGCTAAGAGCCTGACTACTCGCACAAAGGACGCCTACGAACTGCTTGTGTGCTGGGACTGCCTTCAAGGAGGTACAGTCCCTTTGAACGATGAGACCTGGGAAAGGGCATGACCTGGAGCGCAATCAGCCGGCCTTTTGTAAATGGTGCCATCGTGAGTCCGTGAAAACTGGACGGAAAGGCTGCCTGGCTGCGCTCCAATACACGCCCGTTACACACCTATCATTTGCAAGGATCATGACTATGAGGGAATGTTAAATGCTCGCAGCCCGCTTAGTGGGCATTTTTGAGCCATGAGGAGTGCATGTCATTGGTGCTTGCGGACCCTTGTTACCTACCTACACTCATGAGCGAAAATTGGCCTAGCTGAGCTGCACAGGTCTTTACGAAACACATGCAGTGTGTAAGATAGACAAGTCATAAGGCGCAGTTTGTCGACGGGGGGGGGCATTCGGCTTTTCATAGATGTGCCGACCCATCTAGGTAGCCTTTTCTCGAGTTGACACGTTTTAGGATGGTGGCTAGACGATCTTACTCCAGCTTCACAGGCGTTCACAAGTTTTACCATGGTGAGATTCGTAAACCGGAACTAGGGAAGCAATGTTAGTACAAAATGCCCCGCTAAACAGCGCCAAAGTCAGAATAAGCAAGCGATGGCCGGAGACCTCTTTCTGCCTCCAGCCATGGACTGCGCTGAGGAGATTACAGTTCCCGTGACTCTCAAAATGTAGAAGGATATCCTTGCAAGCCTAATCATCAACTACCAACTTAACGCTAGACCGAGAATTCAAGGTTAAAGTCGTGCGGGTAGAAAGTTGTCCAGCTGTTCTCTTTTGCACTAACTTCAGCCCAACGACGCTGCAGAGGAAAGGCACCTCGAAATCCATCATTACGCTTAACATCGCTCTTTTTCCGAACAGCCTTTCCACTGGCCGGGAAAGCATCACTCAATGCGCCATTTCCCAAATGACTGACATCTCCTTTTCTTCTTCTTCAGGGGACGCCACGTCTCCAGTCTCAGAAAATTTGGGTGCAGATTCTTTCTTTTCCATGGGTCGATAACTACTGTTCAGGCAGTAGCACTGTAAGAATGAGGATGCGCTAAGTCGTTTTTGTTGCCCGTCTTTTTGTTGTCTGCAACCTAGCTGCAGCTGAACAGCTGCAGCTATTTAGCAAAGAAATCTCTTTTATCAGGATGTAGCCATTATGAAACGTGGGAACTAGTAATTCGTTCAAATTTTAATTTGCAGATTCGCCGTCAGTGAGTGTTAGCTTTATTTTATTCATGTTCTCATCAGTTGTTTTCAAATAATTGCGGTTCGCACGCTTTCTTTACGTAGTTCCTCCCAATTAGCATCAGACTTCCTTGTCATTCACACGTATAAATTGCAGTTCCGAGACGTCTCGACTAATCAGTGGCAAGTCTCTTACAACCTCACGTAACTGTTGTTCTTCAATACTCATCCCTCTCACTCGCATCGCCAGTGCAAAGCTGAAAACAGTTGTCCCGACAAGTAAGATTTTTTCTCGTGCAAATTTATTCTCTTTATCGCTTTGACATATTAGAAATAGTTAATGTTCCGCCATAGTGAAGTTGATCGAATCACCTGTCTGTGGATGCGATAAGCAGGAGTGGTGGACAAGGACTACGTTCAGCTATTATCTTGCGCAAACGAGAGGGCTTGTAAGGGTCGCTATTCAAACGACCTTTTCTAGCATTATTTGTCGGTCGGATGGCTATCAATCGTGAGAGAGGCCCAGATTCTAAATCTTTGCAGAAAACTGGGAGATACGAGCAAAGGTGTTTATACTATTTCATTGATTCAGGATTACTTATATAATATGAAAGCTTGTGAATCTTTTTTTGTGTTGTTTTCATTTTTTCGATTTTCAAGCAGTGTTGATGGAGTGTCCCACCTGTCAAATTGAGCATTCTCAACAGTTTCCTCTTTATACATGCATTCACTGGGGACGCTGGAAGCGGTGAATTGTTTGAGAAACTTGCGAGAGGTTCGATTAGAAGATTCAGTGAGGGATTTTCATAATGGCAAGCCGCAATTGGTGCTGCGTACGGTCAAGACTTTTGCCCATATCTCAGCTCTACTCCGGTAACTATCCTTGGATAATTTAGTTGGAAAGCGGCTAAAAGTGAGAATGCAACAAGCGCAGTTGATGAAAAGAGAAAGGGCATCGAAGTGAAGCAAAGAGTAGTAACAGGGGATGTGTCAGATTATTCTAAAGGTACAGCTCGCGATGTATAGAAGTTTAAAATATGGCATCGGGAGGGTGGGGTGGTATGGCAAGCGACGAATAACCTTGAGCCGGTTTCGCCGCAAAAAATTGTAAGGGAGGGGCGCTATAGCGTAATATAGGTCCGGTGCGTCTCCTTTTTTCCAGTGACTTCGCCTCCATACTCCGCTTTCAAGTCGCGCTTTCCAGTGTGCAACGAAGCTGCAGGACGGAAAAACCATAAAAAACGTCACTTGCACGATCGTAGAGTTCTTAACAAAAAAATGAGCTGTGCGGGTGAGGGTGCCGTGTTGAAGATGGAGGTAATTGGGCAAGTACAAACTAGGATCGTAGTGGGGTTCTATTTGGGCAGTTGGCATGTTTTCTTCTGCTTTTTTCTCCACTATCGAGTCACTCCCAAACTTGTCTCTATATGCGATCTTCTATCTATGATGGCGAATGATCGCGGGCTTTGCATTGCAGCTATTCAACGTTGACTCAAAAAGGGTGTAGTCACTTGACACGAGAATATCCGGTGTAGTCACTTGTTATGATAACTGGGGTCGCCTGGGGTTCGACTTTTGCCCATAACTCAGCATTCTTGTGAAAGCAAAGCCTAGTATTTGGTTGAACTGCTCACTGTCTTGCTGACAACCTTCAGCCTTTCACACTGTTTCGAATTCGGGAGGCCTATCGGCTCGACTATGTGCGTTCGATTCCATCCTTCTTGAACCACGCCGAACAGTCTCAGACCGACTCTCATCCTAGCTGATCAGGTCTTCCGAAATTCGCGATCGGGAGATGGTGTAGTATTGAATTTTCCATCGGCTAACGTAAGATCCTTGTATACCAATTTATGAATCACCAATAGTATTTGAAAATTATTACATCTCTAGATGAAAGCGGAAGCGTGGCGCTCCCAGAAGAAGGATGTGGACGGAAGGTAGGTTATCCTTTCCCTCTGTAGAAAAAAGGAAGAGAAGAGCTCAGATGAAGGTTTTGCAGGCATGGTTGAAGAACGTAGTTGGCCTCATTTTCAAGTTGACACTTACTGTAGTTCTTTTCGCTGCAGACGTTGGGGCGTGCCAGGGGGGGGGATTCACCTACATACGTCTGTGACAGCAGCATATGTAATTTGAAAAGGAGTCAGACAGCGATTAATTTTTTTGCCTGACGGAGTGACTGCATCTTTCGGCTCATTAACTCTTTTTAGAGACCTCTCTACAGCGTGCAACGACTTCTACAGCTATGCGTGCGCATCTCCGAAACCGAATGACCCACGGGAGCACGCTTTGGAGGAGTTCAATCAGATGTTGGACGAAGAAGTGAAACTTCTTCCTGCAAATTTGAATCAAATGTTTGTGCGTGCTTCTTGTTCGTAGAATGCGTTCGTGAGAAAGCGACTGAGCAAGAATTGCAGGCCAATCTCGAGACGACATTGCCGACGATAGACGAGGAGTCCTTCCGCTCCCAGCTGGCGAAAAGGTACGGTCTCTCCTTACTTGTACCTGCGGAGCTGTATGCTGACTTTAGTGCAGGTGTGAAAATGTGACGTTCGTCGAAGACTACTTCCGAGCCGCGATTGAGGAGATTGGAGAGGCTTCCTCCATCGGGACAATCAAGTTGCTCTGAGATGGCGAACACCATCGCTGAAATTGTGCTAGACGAGCAACAGAGCAGTATTCAAAAAAACTGCAGATTCCTCTGTAGAAAGTCGTTAGTCCGAGCTCAAGGAGTCTCATTTGCTACAGATGAAAGGGCATGCCAGGCGAGATGGGTTTGGAGCGGAGCCAAACCCGTTTTCCAGCAGTTGTTGAAGCGAGCAGCGGCAGGGTTGAATAATATAGTCGTGCCATCGTTCCCCACCAACTGTGGTCTCTTACCCGCTCCAGCGGCCGGTCGAGAGCGGGTAAGAGGCCACAACTGGTGAAGGTTTGATGCTGCGCCGAACGCGTCCCCGCCTGACACACCCTTAATCTCCATCGAACAAGACTGGCAACACAAATGTTCTTCAGGTGCTAAAACGAGCAGTATTTCAGCATCTCTATGAAAACATGGTCCTTCCGTTTCCGAGCCTGATTTATTTGGGAAATGTTATATTTTGTCTCTTACTCTTACGGTTTGGCTCTTTGCAGAGGGATGTTTCTTTGCAACAACCGTTGTCTTAGAAAACCTGGTGCCAAATACTGGATAGGATACCCCTTCGTTCAACGAGGTTCTCAGTAGGTGCTACAATCGCACTAGTATCGAGGAGTCGTGCCCGTCTCAGCTCAGAACTTAGTTCTCCTCGTTTTCAAAATGACACTTGCTCTAGTCGTTTTCGCGGCAGATGTTGGGGCGTGTCAGGGGGGGAGGGGTTAGCGCGGTGCCAGCCTGTCTTCCACCGATTGTGGTCGAGCGCCAGCTTCTCCAGCCAGGGTACAGCATCGTTGTGTGAAACACATAGGGGGTCGTACTTTTCGGCTGGGGAGGGGGGGTCGTATTTGGTCGTTGTTGGGAGAGGGGGGGTGGCATGTGGCTTTGACAGAAATTCGCTGCGTTGGGGAAAAAATTTCTTGATTTTTCGCGTAATTTTTCCTGTTTCATGCGTACCATAACTCCGCTCGACAGCAAATTTTTGGAGAATATTACTGAAATTTTCAGGGAATTTCGAGAAAAGTGGTAAGAAAATGGGGAAATCCTGCGAAACTTTCTCGCTTGGCATTGGCTATATACCCACCTCCCCGTACTGGTACCACCTCACACATCACGATGCTGTACCCTGTCCCCATCTAGTGGGAAATGGATGATGTCGCGCCAAGCCTAGCCCCCTCATCCCGACTCGCGCCCAGCAAACGCAGCGGAAACGACTATACCTGATTTTTTGTTTTCGAAATTGGAGCAAACTCGAAAAATTTCCCTTCGCCTCTCTACCCAGAGGTACGAATGTTCACTTCGTTTGTTTCAGTCAATAGAGCAATTGGTGGATGTTATCAAAAAAGTCCGAGACGTCGTCGCCTTCGAGAATATTAGAAAGAAGAATCCTCGCATTAACGAAGCGTTCCAGCGTACGAGAGAGTTTTTTGAGACAATACGGCAGGAATATTTGGACTTCATCAACGTAAGTACATGTTATGATAAAAAGTTGCAATTCTGAGGTGTTCCAACATGATCGGGGTCTCAGGAGATCTGCTTTATTCCTCATACAGTCAGAGAGACAGATTATTTGCTACTATGATAGGAACTGTTATTTCTATTACAGTTCTTGAATGAGTAGTAATGTTCAAGAGTACAACTTCCGACAATCCGGAACACCTGGCGATGTGGTACACACGAGCAGCTCGAGTTGAGTTAGAAATGCCAATGAGAACCCACAAGTTTTTCGTTGCTGAGCACCTCTACTTCGTTTCAGGACATCTAAACTGCACAGAGAATGTTGGGTGACTGCTGCATCCGTGAATCGTCTTCAATATCATACTCACTCTTCTTCTTTTTCAGCTATAATGGTGATCGACTAACGCGGAAGGCGTGTCTGCCTAAGCTCGTGCATGGGATTGCAACAAGGTCAATACCAATGACCCAACCAGGTTGGCTCAGTTCCTTCATGATCTCCGAAGTCTCAACGTGAGCGTCGTGAATGACCGGGTTTACGTTAGACCCGCCTACGCTCTCTTTCTTCTGAATACCACAAACGATGCTTTGCTGGTCAGTTCCTTTCGAAATCACCATCGCAGTAGAGAGTAAAATAAGTTATTGTGAGTAGCAAATCAAGTTATGAAGTATCGCTGAGGTATGTAATGTTTCAGCGTAGGCAGCGTCTTGCTTCAAAGACAGCCTAGTGTCAAGGATAATTGCTGATCAATTATGAAACAGTAGCTGATAAGTAATTCCTCAATGAAGGAAAAAGCAACAAGAGCCCTCAAGAACACCACAAACAAAATTGCTCCCTTACAGTTACACCGCCCTGCGGTCCCTGGGCAACCCCTGGCTCACAAATCGCTTTATGGCTGTCAGTGAAACAACATCAATTCAAAGGACAGAATGTAAAACAACAAAGACAAACAATCATACAACACAAAGACAACAACGATAAACACATAAAACGGAAAATTCAATAAATCTGATCCAATTTGGGGTTACGTGAAGTGTGCGGCTTTTGGTGCATGTCGAGCTTTTGCACCACAGAAATTGCATCATTCGTGATTTTTTTACGCGTTTTACCTTACGAGATGGGTTGCAGTTGACTGTATGTGCTCCCAATGAATAAAATGTGATGAAGGAGAGCAGAATTATTTATGGGCAGCGAGCACGGTCATATGTATTCCGATTAAATGCCGGCCCAACAAAGAACAACATGACGGTTATCCTCAAGGGACCCAGCAAGTAGGGCGGTTCAACTGAGCAGGTGTTAGAACTAGAACTTTGAGCGGCTGTAGCTCGCTCCTCGCTTACTGTGGAGTAGCGAGAGTGAGATAGTATCTACCTTGAGGGCTGGACCTGCACAAGGAAGCACGACCATGTATTGGGTTGTCGCATAAGTTCTTATACACGTGTTGTCCTTCCTTATTCGTTCGCAGGTTATTAGGTATTTACCTCACACGTCGTGCGTGACGTGTACATTATACTCTTTCATTACACTAGCTATCACTCACCGAGCTTGCATTTGCAGTACACAATGTCGCACAATTTGCACTGTGACAAAACGTACCTGCGCCACTGTTTGGTTTTGCTCCACGATTTCGGCTGGAATACAAAGGGAAGCCCATACCAAGCTGGTGGATACATACGGTGAGGACGTCATCTCTTACATGACATGCAAGAATTGGTTCGCCAAATTCAAGAAAGGAGACTTTTCTCTCGAGATGACTTGTCGAGTCAGGTTGGGCCGATGATTTGATTTGAAGTGCTACTTTCCACCCTGGAGGAGGACCCGTACCTCATCACCAGAAATGGCGACCATGCTTAGCTATGATCATGAACGGTTGCACGTGGACTAGAAAAGCTCGGCAAGGTAGCAAAGCTTGGTCGATGGGTCCCACATGAACTGTCCGCTTATGACCTCTCGAGGAGGGTGACCACCTGCACTTCTCTCCTCACTTTCCAAAAAGAGGCTTCACTTTCTCAACTCGATGATCACTGGAGATGAGAAGTGGGTCCTCTACGATAACCCTGTGAGGAAGCGGCAGTGGGTCGACAAAGGAGAACAGCCAGAAGCCACCCAAAGCCGACCTTCACCCCAAAAAAGTTTCCTGTCCGTTGTGGTTCCGAAGAGCATGGAGTACTGAGGAGCTGTGGTAGAAGACAGACGATGACGCTTCCACATACGTGACCCAGCTGCGGAAATTGAAAGATCACGTCGACCGTACTCGTGGAAGGAATGCGGAAATCTACTTCCACCATGACAACGCCCGACCTCACACTGCAAAGGCGACCCAGGCCGAGCTGGAGAAGTACGGATGGCTGATGGTCGCCCACCCTACAGCCCTGACCTCGCTCCTTCTGACTACTGGCTGTTCAGCCACCTGCAGCGCTATCTGGACGGAAGTCAGAAATCAAAGGATCAGCGTCAAAAAAAGGCGCTCGGACGACTTCTTAAGTCCTAGCTACGTCGGTCTGAAGATGCGAAGCAGACAAGAAGCTGCCTCTGAGCGCTGGCATCGAGTATAATAATTGTATGTGATACTCTAATCTCGTGTTCGTTTTTGAGATATTACAAAGTTCGTGTATAAGAACTTAACGCCACACAACCTAATACTACTTGAGCGCGGGGGCTGTCTTTAAGGTACGCCATCTTGGTTCCACACCATCATACAAAGCCGAAACAGCATTTGGATGACGTCACAAGTGATATTGTGCAATAATGTCAGTTTATTCTTCGGAAGATGATCCCAATAAATCAGTCGAAGCTAAAGGATTGGAAGCTGACGGATGTGGGCGGGAAAGTCGGATATGAAGGTCTGGGCTAAGGCACATCTTGACAGAATGCTATTCCCCCCACCCATCCTACCTGCCATCTTATTGAATTCATCCGAATAACGCGCTTGATTAGGAAGGAAAGCCAAGAAAAGCCTGCAAAATGAGCTTACAAGTAATCTCTTCGCAGCTGTAACTGTGCGAGATGACGCAAATATAGACTGTGTTATACTTCAAGGCGAAAAGCAAAGAACTACTATAAATAAGGGGTAACCCGATATGTGGCTGCAATATCCCTTTTTTGCGAGTTATGAACCCTTGCCGTGAGATAGCCGAGAAATTCACTCGAACAAGGTTTTGAAGTCTCTTTGGAAACTCGGCGTTTTTTTCAGACAGTTCAGTGGCCTGAGCAAGTGCAGACAAGGACGTTGGTGAGAAACACAAATTTTATTTGCATTATCATTAGAACTGATCCTAGCGACGACAGCACACCACTTGAAGGCACGGTCCGCGATCAGGTATACAAGTTGAAAATATGGCGTCAGGAGGTAGTGTGGTCCGCGACGAACAACCTTGTACCGGTTTCGCGGCAAAAAATTCTAAGGGAGGGGCGCTATAGCGCAATATAGGTTCAGTGGTTCCTCCTTTTTTCCAGTGACTCCGCCTCCAGACTCCGCCTTAAGCCCGCCTTTCAGTGAAAAACGAAGCTGCAGGACGAAAAAGCATGAAAATCGTCACTTGTACGGTCGTAGAGTTCTTATCGGGAAATCAGCTGTGCGGATGAGGGCGTAGTGTTGGAGATGGAGTTCATTGGGCACGTACAAACTGGGATCGAAATGGGGTTCTATCTAGGGCAGTTGGCATGTTTTTTCTGCTTTTTTTCTTCACTATCGAGTTGCTCAGCACCTTGTCGTCCATATGCAACCCCTAATCCACTATCTGTGATGGCGAATGATCGCGGGCTTTGCCTTTAAATGAAAAATCAAGACAATACTCATAGCCTTAGCATTCTGAAGTGTACAGCTCATTATTATCACAGCAGTGCTGAGGCATAGACTGCTCTAAGCTCAAGACCGTGCCCACTCAAATAATGAACCTGAAATGTTCAAATCCGAGAAATTTCCGCCACAAAATTCGGTAGAACCTCTTTCGGTATAAGTTTGGTACCTGTTAGGTGGAACCTTGCGAGAGACCAGAAATGGCCTCTATCCCCCTGTGAAATGTTGTTTCTCTAGGAAGTTACGACGTTTCAGAAGGCTTTACGGTAATAACCAGTGAAGCAGCGTACGCGTATTATGAAACGACGCTGCTGGAAGAAAGGCAACTGCACTATTCCCCTTCGGAGAAAGAATTACTATTTCTTTCTTCTCTTCATTTGGTCACTCTCTTATTCATTCAATCAAAAGAGAGGAGGTCCTATTGAAACTCACTTCGAAGGGAAGGGGAGTACAGGCCCAATTTTTTTTTAACATGATGCTTGACCCTGCCCTCGAAACCCGTTCCCGTGCACTTTTGAAAGAAAAAAGGCACGCTGCTGCAGCTGTGCTGATCTCATTCACCTCATATGTGGAAAAGACGGTTCTCTGAGATGAGGTACCATTGCCATTAAGGAAAAGGGCATGATAAATCCCCTAGGGCACGTAAGATGAACACGCCAATCATTCACCAAAGAATTCCGCGCTCCTGAGAAAGCCTTACATAATGTCTTTTCCAGAGTGAAGCGGTCTCTGAGCATCCTAGCAAAGCTTAATATACCAATCGCTGCCTTTCCTCAACAACAACACGCCCAGAAATGGCAGCACCGATCAGCAGTATCACCATCGGATCAGTTGTTTTCACCCCACAATAGCCGGCTGAATGTCACTTTTCCCTTCTTCAAGGTTCCTTCTGAAGAGTCTTAGTTCTTAGTGGTGAAAACATCTTTCTTTAGCAGAGTGCGAAATTATTTGCAAGCGGTGCCCGTTGTGCAGTTTCAGACTTGTTTTACTTGTTTGGCTTTTTCACTTTCTTCGCGAATGTTTGACAGCAGCTTCGCGAAGATGCCATTAGTGTGTCTCGCTGCTTGAAATAATGTTTCCATATTTTCTGTGCAGTCGCACTGATTTTTTCACATTGATCTTTGACCGCCACTCATTTATCTCATGGTCAGGGGTAGGTTGGTTCACTAACTGATGAGGGAGGTTAATAAGAGCTTCATTTTGGGCCTTTTTGGACGTTTCATCCCGTTTTTGCCTTACTGTTGTACTACAGAGCGCCTACACTCCCGTTTTGTGTAGAAAGATAAAATTATCTGGGCCACTGCCTTAAAGGAATTCAGAAGATCGTAAAGGCGATGGCGGCAATGGCGTATTTTGTGACGATTCCAAGCCTCGTAAGACGATTTTGTACTCATCGGCATGTTATGAGACAGCACAGTCATGCATTGGGGCAGTATGAGGTACGTAGGTAACATATAGCTTTGACACCAGCCCGCGGGGATCTCTGTTGGACTGCCGCTCACCTTGGTTTCAAAATTCGAGCAGCGCTGAGAA